GACTCTTAAGGGGCAGGAGAAGGAATTAGAGCCAGGCGGGTCTTAATGCGGTTAAGGGGGGAGTTGGTATGAGGGAGTGGTGAGCCTTTCTCCGGAATGCCCTTGGGCAGGAAATAGAAATTTTTCTTAAAATGGTGGCTGTCACTTAAGATGGCCATCCAGATGCTAAGCAAGGACCTTACAATTAGTTTATTAGGCATTCTATGACATACATTCCCTAGTTCTACCATTTATAAGTATAGCTATCACTGGAGAGAAAAATGTTTAATATTGCTGAGTGCATTAAAATATGCACATTTTTATTCGGAAACTGATGCTCAAATATCAGTGAAATTAGAATATACCTCAGACTAGAAATGAGTTATAGCCAGAGAATCAAAGAATTTTAGAGCTATTGAGATTTCATACCATCCAGTAGAACTTCCTGTTTTTTTGAAGACAAAAATACATTACTGTTAAGGCATTTAAGGAAGCTTCATTTGGGGGAGAAAAAAAAAAGTTTAATTATAAAATCAAATCATTATTTTATAAAGTAACTTCTAGTGGATATACCTGCTTAACATAAAATGTAAAATCATAGAACATGCCCTTTTTCTCAGACAGAACAGAGTTGCTACACTGTTAGTGATGGGAGGAAAGATGGGGAAGAGAAAGATGTTGTTATGGAGTAGCTTATGGTTTATCTCCATTAAACTGTTTAATCTTTCCAAAAAAAAAAAAAAAAGTATTAACACCCATTCAGTAAATAATACTTAGGGAAACATTCTTCATATAAAAAACATCATTGTAAATATTGAGAAAATAAAGTATTGAACAAAAGGTAAATAAGAACATTTCTAACTTTACTGTTAAATTTATGAAAAACAGACAATAATTATTAGCTAAATGGACAAATCTTTTTTTTTTCAGGGGGCGGGGTGAGGGGACCGAGGATTGAACTGAGAGGTGCTTTGCCACTGAGCTAAATCCCATCTTTTTTATATTTTGAGACAGGGTCTTGATAAGTTACTTGCTCAGGGCCTTTCTAAATTGCTGAGAGTAGCCTCAAACTTGCAGTACTCCTTCCTTAAGCTACTGCATTGCTGAGATTATGCCACCATGCCTAGCATACAATTTACAGTGGTTAAAAAATGATCCAAATGCCAGTTCTTTGCCTGGATTCTCTTCTCTCCAGCTACACATTAGGTTACTAGTTTCCCCAATATTTTAAGCTCTTCACTAGTAAAACAAACAAAATTTAAGGAGAAAAATCATAGGACAGCATGTTTTACAGTCATCATACACTACCAATTTCTAACTTCAGCTCAGGGAAACAATTCTTGCTTGTACTAACTCAGTTCATCTTCCACAGTGGCTATTCCAAATCTCCATTGTTCTCCTGAAACCTTAATCTCTTCCCACATCAGCTGACCTTTATTGCTATCCACCTCTTAGAGACCATAGCTTTCAACTTTCATCTACCATCCAATGTACAAATACAAAATCCATTCTCACTTTACCTTTCTCAGTGCACCTCCTTTTATCAACTCTAGCACACTGCCAAGGAATACAGCTCGCACTTAAATGCTAATTGTTAAAGGTAATGAATTAATCCAAGACCAATTCACACTGCTCATGCCATCTCTCCCTAAATTGTCAGGGACCTCTACCAGCTCTTTCCTCCTCCTTCATCTTCAAACATTTCCTCTTTTTGGCTCTTTCCCTGTTAGCTTATAAATCCTCCCTGCCACCAAAAGAAAAACAAGCCCAGGAACCATTTTTAGCTATTATCTCCTTCTCCTCATAGCCAAGTGACTAGAAATTTTGTATTAAGGAAGAACTGTCACATTGGATAAAGACTTWAAAAAAAAATCTTGAACTTTTTTTAATATTTATTTTTTAGTTGTAGTTGGACACAATACTTTTATTTTATTTATTTTTATGTGGTGCTGAGGATCAAACCCAGGGCCTCGCATGTGCCTAGGCAAGCACTCTACCACTAAGCCACAACTCCAGCCAGAATCTTGAACTTTTGAAGAGACATATTTAAATATTATGGATAAAAAGAAAAGCTAAGGGCTGGGATTGTGGCTCAGTGATAGGTGCGGGTTTGATTCTTAGCACCGCATGTAAATAAACAGAATAAAGTCCATTGACACCTTAAAATAAAATTTWAAAAAAAAAAGATAAACTTGAGTTTAACTTCAAAATAACCCAGCTGGGGGGAAGGCTTACAGATGAAATAAAACAGGCCAAGCCAGGTTTAACATTTTTAAAGAAGAAATGCATGGGGCTGGGGATGTGGCTCAAGCGGTAGCGYGCTTGCCTGGCATGCGTGCGGCCCGGGTTTGATCCTCAGTACCATGTACAAACAAAGATGTTGTGTCCGCCAATAACTAATAAATAAATAAATATTTAAAGAAGAAATGCTTACTGATGTTCACAACTTTTTAAATGATTTCTATCCACTAATTCTCTTGGACACTTCCCAGTGCTTACCGGCTGGCTCTCTGCACCACTCTGCTTCCTCCCTTCCTTCCTCCCCTTGGTTGTTTGCTGAGCTTTCTACCAGTTCCTCCTCTCCTGCCTCCTAACTTCTTTAGTCCCATCTGCGTGCACTCTTCTCCACTTCTTCTCCAACATGACCCCCTCCTCCAAACACACACACACACCCACTTTAAATGATGTGCTTTCAGAGAGTTCCATATTCAAACTTCTTGCTTTTTTTCATTTCTTCTCATTCCTTCTCAGTGAGTTTATCATTCTCTTCTGCAATACTTGAACGACTTTATCTGTATGCAATCCTCCATATCCAGCACTGATCTCTCTCAACTCCCGACCCAAAAGCATCTCCACCCAAATGTCTCATAGGAACCTGAGCAAACATTCAAAACTGAACTTATTTTTATCTTTCATCTCAACAAAAACCTGTTCCTCCTCATTTCAATCAAAAGTTTCAGTATTCTCAGTCACTCTAGCCAGAAACCCAGGCATCGTATGTCTCAGGGTTCCAAATCATTCTACCTCCCAACATTCAAAGCCTTAAGTCATATCAAATTTACTTCTTATATTTTATTTCTCAAAGTCATCTTTCTGTAACTCCAACTGCTTAGTTCAGGCTCTTTTCGTTTCTCTACTGGACCTTTTTAATTTTCTACAATTGGTTTCCCTACCACCACTCTAACCTTTCCTCTAAGTCCATTCTCCACACTGCAGCTGAAGTTATTTTTCTAATACAAACCCAATAAACTGCTACTTTGCTGGAAATTCTTCAGTGGTTGCCCCATGTTAAGAAAAGTTCTAAACTCTGATCATGGTACCAAGTATTTTAAGTTCTGATTTCCCCAATACACTGCAAGGATTCTAGGATCCAGTCATATAGAATTACTGAAGGCTCCCCAAATTCGAAATGCTCACTCCTAAATCTATCCTTTGTTCATATTATGCCATTTGCTTACAATGACATTCCTCATCCTCTCTCTCCAATGAAACTTATCCAACTTTCTTAACACAAGACAAGTCACTTAATGCCAAAGACCTCCCCTGACCTCATTAGACAGAGTCATGATCTTTCTACTAATTAGGGGATAGAATGCCATCAGTGGTTGAGATTATGACTTATATCATGAGTTAGACCCACCTGGGCTCACTTTATCCAATAAGACTTTAGGCAAAATCTCTAAGCCCATTTCCTCATCTCTAAATAACAGTAGTTAACTACTTCACTTATTTGTTATGAGGAATAAATAAGGACTACCTGCAAATAACCCTGCACAGAGCTTCTCACACAGACTCAGTTTAACAAAAGTTAATGTTGTATGATTATTCCCACTGAATTTATTAGTGTTAAATTAATAGCAACTTGCATCTACCACATTACTGAGATTACATAAGTGCTCATGCCGGACACTGGCAATCTACTATTTATCTCTTCATTCTCACCACTTGACATAATATATGGCAAATAGGTTATTGACAAACTGAGTGAACAGAACAAAATACTTCAAATCCCTATTCCATGTAAGGTCCTTTTTTCCCCTAGTGGTCTTATGAAACCTACTTCTGCCTCCAAGTACATAAAATTGCTCCTTTAAGAGAAATTCACAGAGGTCAGCATTTTAATTGAGAGAAAAAAAATTTGTAACGTTCCTAATCTTATGTTTCTTGAAACTTAAAAAAAATACACACAAAAATAAACTCACAATACTAACAACAATTTCCCAACTCACTCCATAAAATACCAATATCTAGATTATCTACCTTTTGAAATTTTTTAAAACAGTCAAGGTAGGTTTTTTAAATCTGTCAGCTTCCTTACCACCAGTCCTTGAGTCTTGTAACTAAGATGTATTCTGCAGCATTTTTTTTTTTTAATGGCATTTTTCATTTTAAAAACATGCTCCTTAGGAATTCTGAAAAACACTGCAACAGTCAAAGAAAACAATTACTACTCCCCCCTACTTTGAAAGAAAAAAAAAAAAAAAGGCAGTGCTTTAAATGTTACTAGTGATTTAAAACTAAACTAGTCTTCAAAATATGTGTAGGCAGGGTTCAAACTAGTGGGGAAGGGGGCCGGGGAGGACTCATTTCACAACCTTGAACCTCTACAGATAAAATGCAGAATTGCAAAACGGTGAAACACCAGATACTCCATATGACAGCAATGTTGTCTTTTATCCACGTTCACACTCATCATTTAAACATAATTGCCCTTTGAGAAATAGAGGGGTTTAAAATAAGTATGGTTAAATACCTACAAATAAACGTATCTGGGAAAGGAGAAAAGTCTGTTAAATTTCGGTCTCTCTGTTCTCAYGCCAAATTCGTGCCATACATACGGTTCAGAACCGAGAGACAGCAACCTGGGAGGGTCAGAGCTCGGGAGGCGCGGAAGGCCCGAGGCCCTGCAGCTAGGGCTGCTGCTCCTCCCGGAGCCTAAGCAGGGCGGTGGCCCGATGGGGTGGGGCTGGGCGCTGCAGCCCCGGCGGGCCAAACCACAGGGCGGGAAGCCCACGTCTCACCTCCACTTCCCTCTCCCAGCGCATAGAGCCCAGTTCCGCGACCACCCAAGAGCCCCCTCAAGACAAAGAGACACAGATTCGCCCTGTCCAGGTCCGCACAAAGTTAATCTGTCTTCCCTAGCGGTCGGGGCCGCCGGGCTTTGTAGTTCGCCGGGCCAAATCGACCCTCCACCGCCTTGAGCCCGGCGAGCCACCGAACTACAATCCCCACGATGCCCCGCGCTCGCGCTCCGCTCCCCTCCCCACGCGGCGGCCCGCGCCCCAGGCACCCCGCCGCGCACTACCCCGCGTCCCGGGCGGCGGGAGATAGGGCTGGGCTGTCAACTCGGGCGTCCCACCACCTGCTCTCTCGCGGATTCATTACCTTGGTGCTGCAAGCCGTAGGCCGTGGGTGATGTGGTCCAGGTGGGGTGGGGGTGGGGCGCAGGCCGCCGCCGCAGAAYCCGTTAGTTCGCGACGTGCGTGAAAAGGCGGCGGCGGCGTACGGTTGCCATGACAGTCGCGCGGGGTGGGGGGGGCGGCTCTGAGTTAGCTCTGGGAGGAGCCTGGACAGCCCGCCCAGAGGCGGGGGAAAGGCGGCGCGAGCGCGCACCCTGGGAGAACAAGGAGACGTTGGAGAAGACGGCTGGCTGAGCTGGGCGGGCGGTGACTGAGGAGCCCGTGCGCGGGCCTCGGCGCGCTCCAGCTAGCTGCCTTCGGGGAGGAGCCTGTGGCGTCAGAGGACCTAGCGTCCCCACCTGCGCCGCGCTCGGCCAGACTCTAGTTAAAAGGCCGCTGGTCCAGTTCCATCCCTCGCAGACCCTGCGCCCTTGGGATGTGTGGAACCTCAGCCTGTTCTGTTGGCGCTTTTCATCAGTCAAATCGAATTTGCAGTCTTTCCTACTTCCCCTTTCTGCCATTCTCCGGGGAGTAGGGTGGAAAGCAATCATTCGATATGATGGAACGCATACTTGGCCTTTAGAATAGTTCAGGTTTTAGCACTTACAGATGGCATTGCTCTCTGCTGACTTGGGAGCTATGATATACATTAGGCAATCGTTTGTGGACTCTGCGGGAGCGTCAGGGTAGTCTAAACTGAGGTTAAGAGCATAGGCATCTAAAATTGATTCTTGGTTCCCTTGCTGCCGCTCAGGGGCACTTCACTCACCTGATCTAAACTTCTTGGGTGTAAAATGGGAATACCTGCCTTACAGTTCATGTGAGAAAGAAACGCATTATTGTTGATGAAGCAGTATAAAGCAAAGCCTGGCGTCCAACAGTTGCTATCAAATATTAGTTATTTAATTCATCGTGGTAAAAGTCAGATTGGTTGGTTGGCTGGCTGCGGCAGGAGGGGTTTAGCTGAGGAGGGAATTTGCCTTAGTAATGATAAAACTCTGTATCAGGATGAGGTTGTAGCTCAGTTGGTAGAGTGCTTGCCCGGTATGCCCAAATCCCTGGTCTACATCCTTGATAGCATCAAAATAAAAAGGAAAGAAATGGAAAAGAAGCTCTATATCTTACTAAGGGTTTGGGTTGTAGAATTATCTGCAGTTGTCAGAATTTGGATTGGCACCTTAAGATTTGTATAGTTTTGCTGTATGCAAATTTACCTCAAAAGGAACATAAACATTTGTTAGAGCTCTAAAAAAAAAAAATAGAGATATTATAGGCCCAATATGCAGATTTTATAGAGGAGGAAAGTGAAGCCTAGAGATTTCATAGGAAAAATGGAGAGGGGTGGAGAGTGAATTGTGGCCTTGTCATTTTCTGATAATAARTGACTTTTAAATTATGGTCAAAAATAGCAAGCTATTGTGTTGTTAGTTAGGGTCACTCTGTCCCAGAGATTCTRTTCAAATTCAAGACTCATCTCTGTGGAGAGACCAATGTCCTCTTTATGATTGAACGTTATGATTGCACACTCCCTGGGGCCATACAATCTCAGGGTCATTTCTGACTTTTGAGTTCTTGCTGTCTCTGAACACTTAGACTCTTTCACATGTCACCTGCAACTCTTTTCTATTTCTGCTGTCACATAATGTGGAAATCAACCCCTTTTCTTTTAGTTGTTTCTATAGCACACTCTTCTGAAGGTTTTGAGCAGCTGAGGGGTTTTAAATGAAGGACACAGAAAAACTAAAATTATAATTCCCTTTTCTTAAGAGTCCTTCACTTCCCCCAGGCATTTTTATCCACCAACTCTATGTCTTCCGTATAAGCTGCAACTTCCCACTGTTCATAATCTCTCTGTTCCCATCTCCCCTCATCTTTTCACAGTACTTTTAGTTTCTCCATCTCCTAATCGATGCCTTCAAAGTTACCTATAATTACTAAAATATTTGCCAGTTTTTTCCTATGCAAAGAAAGCATCTTCTCCATGAAAAACTCTGGTGCCAGCTATTAAAATATTTATTCATCACAGTGTATATCTCCATATTCTATTTGATTCAGTCCACAGGGTAGTTAATAAATATTAAACAGTTCCATGTGTGACCTGTCCAGGATATCTTCATAAGTTCAGTTATGAAAAAACATTTTATTATGCCCATAAAGGTGGTTTACTCTATTTAGTGTAAGTAAGAAAGCAGGTGATAATAATTGGAATCCATTATCTAGGAGAAAGAAACCAAATTCTAGGTAATTATAGCTTATATTTTGCAGAATAAATGACAAAATTTAAGTCATGAAGTCTAGAACAAAATCTAAGCATTAAGCCATGATGATATCCTGAAAGACTCAACACCTGGACTTCTCACCTATAGCACTTTGATCACAACTCTGCATACGTAATGAGCATATAAATAGATTCTCCTTTACTCCTGGATAAGATGATACTGATCTGCTACCAGCTGAACACATGTTCTTGTAGTAGGGATGATAGGTTCACCTGATCCATCTCTCCCTCATCTGGTTTCCCTTGTGACCAGTCACTTGTCTCTGCAAGGCAGCTGGCCAGAGTTGTAGGGCTGTTTGCAGCCATGAAGAAGTCTCCAAAGGTAAGGTCCCAATGCATAACCCTCCTTAGTTTTTGATGCTAAAATTCCAGAGAATCAGTTTGGCAGGACAAGCCACTTGAGAATAGATGACAGCAAAGAAAGCAAACAGCTGCTCTKTAGTGAGCTGGAGGTGGCAGTCATGCAAGGGAACACCATGAGCCACTGAAGCACAGCTATAAAACTCCTCACAGGCCAGGAACAGCTGCAAAAGAATAAGGATCAACAAGAAACTATTATTTTTCACTGGACACTTTGGACCCATTCAAGTGATAGTTTAATGCACTGAACAAACCTAAAAAAATGAAGCCGAAAGTAGCAAGAGATTAATACACACAGGCCATGTGGTCAAAAGCCCCACTCTTATTAAAGAGACAGTGCTTCTGGTCCAAGGTCAGATGTTTTTCCTGGGTTCTCAGAGTTGGCTTCTGTAGCAATTGATGTTTTGATCACCCTTACTGGTGGTCTGTGACCTTGGTTCTCATCAAAGCTTTCCAACCATCCCTCGGTGTATTATTCACCAGYTCCTCTACCAGCTCCCAAGGTTCAGTCTCTACACCCTCTGCATTTCCAAGTTCACCTCAGTTCTGGTTGAAGCTCAGATTGCTATTGCTTGTTCGGAGCCCCAAATCTCAGTGCTCCAGCAAGCAGGCCTTGTGCTCCTTTACCTGGTTCTATTGCTTCAGTTGTTCTCTTCCCTTGAGAAGCCATTCCCTTACCCTATCTAAATTCTACCTGTTCTACAAAAACTAACTCAGGCTTTTACATGAAATCTTTCCAGATTATTTCTGCTCATAATCATATCCCCCTGCTGTGTACTCATAATATTTCCTGCCTGTTTCACTCACTGAACATCTAGCCATACTGCCTAGGGCAGCTCATCTAGTTAGTTTTGTCCTTTTCTCCTCACTATATCTCAAACTCTGCAAAGTGCTTTTTTGCATCTTTATAATACCATATACAAATAATATATGCATATATAAAATAAGAACACAATAAATATTTTGATAGGTGGTTCCTTAACTTTAATCCTCTAGTACGTCCTTCTGGTACTACTGCAGTCTCCCCTTATCTGCAGGAGATATGTTCAAAGATCCCAATGAATGCCTGAAACCACAGATAGGAAAAACCATTATACATAGGATAGTGTGTGTGTGTGTGTGTGTGTGTGTGTGTGTACCTACGATAAAGTTTCATTTGTAAATTAGGCATAGTGTGAAAATAACAATAACTAATAATACAATAATTATAATAATGCAGTGTATTAAGAGTTGTTTAAAATTGGAACCATGGTTGATCAGGGTAACTGGGACTGGAAAGCAAAACCAGGGATGAGGGGGCACTATTGTATACAGAATATTTGCAAACCCTCAATAAAAATATTCCTGAATCATATGGAGGTGTGGGTCCCTGCAGTTTTGTAGCAGGGTCCCTTGCAAGGAGATTTCCATAAGTCACTGTTGCTCTGGGAGAAGTCAGTGCCAGTGTTCAGCTCCATTGTCCTTGAAGGCCTCCTAAAGCAGAGCTTTCTTCACTGGCTCATAGCCCACTAGTAGGTCATGAAATCACTTTGATAGAGCTCTCCCAGCTTTTTAATATTTCAAACGTGATAAGGTAACGCAGGATAAAGTAAAACAGAAAATGCTATGAAAAAAATCTAGAGTATATGTGTATAATTACAGTGAAGTATAGTCTGGCAAGCGCTGAGCTGTTCTCTGTTAGCTTCAGAACTACCCTCTCCTCTGCTTGATGTTGGTGGGGCTGAAACTGGGCAAACCACACCTCTACTTTGTTATCTGGCCAGGGGAGGCATGGAGAAAGCACAAGGCAGGGAGGAGCCAGGACAGCTTGCCCTTCCTGTTGCATTTACTGTGCATTGTCCCAGCATTGGCCTTTAGTGCCCCCTGCATTGTATCCCTTCTCCCTTTGTCCCAGAGTTAATGGCTCAGCCTGGGAGTGTCCCTTTTCAAGGGTCCAGTTCCAGCTCTATGGAGCCTCTCCTCCATGCTTCTGGCTTCTGGTTAACTCTAACCTCCTCTCCTCTCTGATTCCCAACCCTAGAGGATGTAGCTCTTCTTGCAGTTATTATTCTGTGCCTTAAAAATATTCCCAAACATCTGTTTAATCAATGCCTTACACT